GCCCCGGCTCCGTGTGGAGCCCCTGCAGCCACGGAGCCCATCATCTGGTGTGGGGTGGTGCGGCGCCGGGCTTGGGGTTTATTTTTTGGAGCGTGTTGAGAGAAGGTCTGTAACCTTTTTTGCCTGGTTGCCTAAGCTGGGCAAGTCAGTTTCTAGACCATTTTTCACTTTTTTCCATCTTTAAAATGTTACCTCCACTCAGGCTTTTTTTTTCTGATGGAAACGGCTGTTGTCAGCAAAATGTGTTGGAGTAGCAAGCGTCTCTCCATTGACAGCATGAACTGTCATCAGAGCCTGATATAGCTGGGGTTTTTTTGGGGGTGCCCCACAATGAATTTTATCTTAGGCCTTACAGGTCTTCTACAGGAAGAAATAGTTGTTTTGGCCACAAGTATTTTATATTATGGCTTCCCAAAGCTATTCCCAGTGCGTAATTCTGTAGCGAGCGCTTTTTATCTTTTCTATCACTGCAAAAATACGGTCAGGTGAAAACTCTGTTCCCTTTTTCCTTGGACGTGGAGGCGTGCGGCGAGTGAGGGTGGCGGCAGAGGGGAGATGTACGTCGTGCCGGAGTCGCGCGGAAGTCCTTCCCTTACCGTTACGCGGCTCGACGCAGAGACGCTTGTGTTTCAGCGTGCTTACCTATTCTTTATAGAACCCGGCTGGTAAGCCTTGTTCGCATGTGGCGCCCGGCAACTGCCACACTACGCTTTTCGTTTGCTTGCACGTTGGTAGAATTTTCCATCTACACTTGCTCCTTAAAAATGCCTCTTCTTTGAGGAGCTGGTTTGGCTAGTAAAAGAGCCCAAAGTGCTGGGGCTGTTTGCAGCTTTTCTGGAGGAAAGGAGCATATGTGCTCTGATTAGGGGTTAAATGCAAATTCTCCCTGGGTGAATTAAGGTCTGATTTCAAATGAAACCTAAAAAATAAAGCTTGCAACATGTAGTTTAATAATTTATGGAGTTAGTCTTGACTTTTGGTCAAATGTCTTTGTGGCTTAAATAGCTTTGCTGCCAACTAAATGTATCAGTGCTGCAGAGAAGACCTAGATGAGGTTTTTGGGGTGGTTTTGATACCAAAATGACAACCCTAGATGACATTTTGGAGAACGTTGGAGAATTTGACAGGTTTCAGAAGCAAATCTTCTTTGTCCTGTGCTTGCTTTCTGCTGCTTTCACCCCGGTGTATGTGGGTGTCGTCTTCTTTGGGTTCACCCCCGAGCATCGCTGCTTCAGTCCCGGGGTGGCTGAGCTGAGCCAGCGCTGTGGCTGGAGCGTGGGGGAGCAGCTGAATCACACAGTTCCCGAGTGGGGTGGCCATGGCCATGGGGCCAGTTTCAGCAGCCGCTGCAGGAGGTACGAGGTGGACTGGAACACGACGGGCGTCAGCTGCACCGACCCCCTTGGCAGCCTCGTGGGCAACCAGAGCACCATCCCCCTCGGTCCCTGCCGGGACGGCTGGGTCTACGACTCCCCGGGAACCTCTCTCGTGACTGAGGTAAAAATAAATAACCCCCTTCCCTTGCCCCCTCAGTTACAGGCGAGCGAGGGACGTGGGAGAGGGCTGGTGTAGCTTAGGCTGTGTTAAAACGACGCCTGCTTACCTGGACGAGGGGATCCTCTTGCAGCGAACTTGTGCCGGGCGTTTTGCAGGTTGTCTTCCCTCTGTCCTGGCTGTGAAGCATTGCCTTGGCTGCTCAGGGGGCTTATATCTCCAGCTGGGGAGCAAAGCCCATTTCAGCAAATAAATCCCTAGGTAGATAAAGTCCAGTTCTGAATGAAACTCCTGTCACATGAGAGGTCCGATTGGTGGACGTGTGTAAACAGCGGCTGGGAGGCATCAGCGGCGCGCAGCGCTGCAAACACCACCAGCAGATCCCCGAGCGGGCGCGCTGCACGGACCTCCCCATCTTCCCGGGATCCCTGCCCAGATGTGAAGGTCTTGATTTCTTTTCTTTTCCTTTCTTTTCCTTTTTTTTTTTTTCTTTAAATTTGTTTCAAATACGTTTGAATGACTATGGGTGAGGGAAAAGGTAATCACTTCCTATAGTTAAACAGTTTAATTCAGGAATAAATTGCAGGAAATCTGATGGCTGTTTTGTGTTCTCAGAAGATGTGTGAATAAACTGAAAACGGTATTTAAGCTGCTTGGGGTACTTGAGGGTTTTAGGTGCTTTAACTTTAAAAACAAACCAATATCTGGGATGACAAACTTGATTTTGTCATAGAGAGTTCCTCTAAATTTTTACAGGTGATGGAAGTCAGGATTCTTTCCCCCCTACCTAACACAAACACAGGAGCAGGTAAATTCTGTGCTCTAGCAACTTCAGCGTTTGTGGTTTTGTAAGAGGTTGGAGCTAGATTTTAGGTGGTGTACTGTGAGCGTACTTCTTTCAGCAAAGCATGGACTGTGTGACGTTCAAGTGAGGAAGTGAGACACCCCAAATGGAGGGTGACCCAGGATTTCTACAAAGCAGCAGCGCAGCAGGCACATCTTGCTGCAAAAGGCTCGAGCAGATGCCGTGGCCCAGATGCCCCCACCATTATCTCTTCAGATCGTGGGAAGCTGAAAACTTGCAGTCTGTGTGGATTCATGCGGTCACGCTTTCACATCGGTCATCTTCCCTTGTCTTCCGAAGGCGGTGCGAGGCCAGACCCATGGGCTGCTTCCTTCCCAGGGTAACCAGAAACGTCACACGCGCCTCTGTGCACTTTGGCAATGCGTTTTGCTTCTGGATGTGAAGCACCTTTGCTTCCGTGAAGGCTCTCGGGCTCTGTTTTGTTGTCCCTGGCTCTGGCAGCTAAGCAAGGGAAAGAATAGTGTGGAGTAAAGCACGTTACTTTTCTCAAAGGAAAAATTTACGCGTGGAAGAATATCCTCACGGGAAGCCCGACAGAGCATCAGGAGGAGTATCTGGTTTTATGTTGATTAAAGATGCATAGCTTTAAATAAACCCATCCACCAGTAGGATGGGAAGGGATTCTCAGTCATGCTAGGACAGCTTTTTTGAAATAACTTATTCTCCAATAGCTTTTACATATTTCTACTTAAGTAAGAGAAGAGAACTAAGGGCAGATGGCAAATATATGTGCACACCCATGTGGCCCTGGACACAAAATACCTGGTCTCCAGACATGTTAGGCTGTAGGACTATTTAGTTGAGCAAAAGGCCAGAGCAGAAAGAAGATTCTGCAGCCACAGGCGCAGATGCAGATACCTCTTCCCACCCTCCTTTCAGGAGCTGGTGTTCCACGGGAATTGGGATGAGGCAGAATTCTGTGAGCATCTAGGATACCTTTAGTGAAGGCATCACCCTTAGTCCTGAGGTGTCTGCAGGGACTACTGTGGCATGTGAGGGTGTGCAACAACCAGAACTGCTTAGAAATGCTCCCCATCAGCCACAAAAAAAGCTGTTTGTAAAGCCCAGGGTGATCAGCATGTCCATGCTGATTTGATCAACAAGGCCTAACACAAACTAGGGTTCTAATCTGGACAAGTAATAACTCAGTTATGTTCTTTCTAGTAATAAGAGATGAGACATGAATGGGAAATAGCCAGGAACCTGCTCAAGGGCGTGATCCCGTTTTTAATGTTGGACCCTTAATTAAGTCAGTAGGGTTTCTGGGTGCTGATAAAACAATCTTTGACCTAGAAACAAATTTAAATCTTTAACTGAGGCAAAGGAAACTTGTGGATGTGAGCCAGCCCCTCTTTTCACTCTGCTTCTAACTGTGTTTGCTCCTTTAGTTTAACCTGGTGTGTGAGGACTCCTGGAAGCTGGACCTCTTTCAGTCTTCTGTGAATGCTGGGTTTTTTATTGGCTCCATAAACATTGGCTACATAGCAGACAGGTATGTGTGGGCTGACAGTAAAACCCTCTGACCTCCCTTATCCGTGTTCAGCAGCTAACCTTAGATAAAGACAGGGAAAGGTTGTGCAACTGCTATCATCTCTGCTCTTCTCAAAATAAGGTCAACCACCTGGACATGCAGTCACGGCATGAGGAGCAAGTACTCTGTCTCTTAGGTCACACCTGGTGGCTTGCACAAATCTTCTGCTCAGCGAGTCCTGCAGAGCCCACAAAGCTCTTTTAGGACCGTACACCCCAGACTCCCTACCGTGCTGCACCAGAGCCCTGGGGCGTTAGCCCAAGCCAGGAAACGCTGGTTTGGAGCCCCAACTTGAGTTGTCACACTCTGTGTTGCTGCAGCTTCGAAACGTCTTGCTTCCTTTGGAGAAACTTTGGAAGAGTAGATGCAGAGGTGGCCAGCTAGGTACAGCAGCAGTCACTGTGAAAAAGCAGAAATCCTTCTGTCCCGGCATCTATAGCTCCCTGGTCAGAGCCAGCAGAGACACCTGCCCCAGCCCAGGCAGCTGGGTTAAAAGGGAACAAATGTCAGTATTTGAAGGCCCTTTTTCCCCTTGTTCCCCTCCTGCCCAGGACTGTTAGTACAGCAGGCTCTGAGTTGCTCCAGCTGTGAAATGCAGCCCACTCACAACAAGAGCCGTACAAATTAGATTTTTGGAGATCAAGATTGTGGTATATAAATCTGGTGCACACAGACATTTCAGAAACACAATATTAACCCATACTTATGTTTCACCCCCATCATAAAAAAACAGATTACTCAGCTGCCCGTTCTGAAATTTAAGGATAACAGTCACGGTCCAAATACATGTAAATACAGGACTATTGTTCTTTAACTTGGGAAACTTTTCTTTTTCCTGAAAGCCTTTGTGGAATTGCAGAGCAATTGGCACAGTAATTTAGAAAAAATAGGATAGAAAAGGAGATAAGTGAGTAATGGGCTAAGAATAAAAATCAGTATGTACCTATCCCTTGTACAGCAAAGTTGGATTTGTTGGTGTTTCGGTTTTTTTCCTCTCCAAAGATACACAAAGTCCTTACTAATTTAAAATGCCGTTGTTTTCATGACTAGTGTTTTGCTTTACACGTATTATCTTCCAATCCAGGTTTGGCCGTAAATTTTGCATCTTAAATACAATTCTTGCAAATGTTGTCTGCGGAATCCTTCTGGTCTTTCTGCCCACCTACCTGTGGATAGTCATCCTCCGGTTCTTGCAAGGGCTGGTCAGCAAGGGCTGCTGGACCGCAGGCTACATCCTGGGTGAGTTCAGACCTTTTTCCAGGAGCAAGACTGGCTGCAGAAGATGAAGAAAAAGCCCAACCAAAAATCCCTGGACAAAAGCCGCTTAAAAAATGCCGCCCATGGTGTTTTATCGCGGAGTTTTCTCCCTCTTTGACTTCTCAGGATTTTTTCAAGCGCTGTCGTTAGGGAGAAGCAACAGTAGCCTTCAAAGCTCAAGCAAGCAGTGGTATATCAGGACTGTTAAGACAGCCTTTCCCCTCTGTTGCAGCTCCCCTTTTGCAGATCTGGGCCCCCACGCTCCTCTCCCTCCCTCGGGCATCTGCTGGGGAAGGCGACGGTCCCAGGGCAGACCGCCGCCGCGGACAGGCTGATGACGGAGGAGGCCATTAAAGAAGCAGGCAGAGGGTGTGGAAAGTTGGAGGCATTTTTATGACACAAAGAGCATTAAAAGGCAAATGGAGCCTTTACAGCCCCAAAATAACCGAAGAACAGCACGTACTTGCTGAGAAAGAGACAAGCTGTTTGGGTGTCTGTGCATTTGTCTGAGCAGAGGCCAACCTGGGGAACGGCAAAGCAACGCGAGGAGCCAGGCTGTGCCGGTGCCGCTCCAGCTTGCGCCGGCCGTGCCTGGTGGTGAAGCACGGCTGCATGGCAGCAGGGTTGGGGCTGCTTTCTGGTGCTTGGTAGAGCTGCCTGGGACTTCTGGAGTTCAGAAGTGTTCAAGAAACGTGTGGATGTGGCACTTCAGGACATGGTTTAGGGGACATGGTGGCGCTGGATTAATGGTTGGACTTGATGATCTTGAAGGTCCTTTCCAACCTAGTGATTCTGTGATTCTCTGACTTCTTGGTGTGGAGTTTGGGCTCTTGTCAAAAATACCCAACGCCAAGCAATCACCAAAACAGCAAATTAAATATTTTGAGTGCTGCCCAATAGAGCCTTATCTGGATTAGGATGTCAGGTGGCTCTGTTGAATAGCTCTGAGTGATCTAGTTCATTGTGATAGTGGAAAAAATGTAAATATCAACACTCTAGATGTCTATTAAGTCTTTTAGCAGGGACATCTTGCTAATGCAGTTATCCGGATGTCTGATATAAATAAAAAAAACCCCCATGTAGCCCACGGTCCAGACCGTCTTCTGCCAAGACATGATTGTTCCTTCTTGTGCACATTATAGATGTTTGCTTGGCCTTTTAAATCTTTTCCTAGCACAAATGAAATCTTTATCACTTCTTCTGGGGAACTTTATGCCATTTGAGAGCATAAGATCCCTATCAGGACAATGACTTGCCCTATCCTGGTATTTGCCAGCAGTTACACCTTGCTACTTCTGGATTCTCCTTGAAATGCTCTCATGAGAGAGAAATCACCCAGAATCTGCCCCAAAGCCCCTTTAAACTTGCTTCCTCTCCCTAAGGGTGACCAATACCGAATGTCCAGGGAAAGGTACAAGGACCCTGGGTCCTTGTGACAACAAGGACAACCTTGTTGTCATACCCTCCTGGAACACTTGTCTACTCTTCAGCTGCTTTTGGCTCAGTCCTACTGAGCCCAAGGAGATGTCTTTGTGTCAGTGCATGATTTGGCCAAGCAGGGGTAGTTAATCCGCAGCTCCAAAACACAGCACTTCCTTCAGTTGCTAAAGAACTGCTTTCTGTTCTTTTTCTAATTTGTTTGCGTTCTTGAAATCACACAACTGGATGCAAAATTTTGCATGTGCTTGCGCCTGCCTGCTGGAATAGTTACTTTTAGGTCTGTATCAACAAGACCTGTGGGTCTATCCTGTGATGTGCAGTTGCAAAGTGCAGGATGAGTCAGGAAGCTGTATGCCGTCCTGTGGTGCAAGCATTTCTTACATACTTGGAGTGAGATGCAGGCTGAAAGCCTGCACTTAGAAAACAAAATATGATGTTTTGTTATTGGGTTGGAGACATTATGTAGGTTGGTGTTAGATTTTACCACAAAAATCCATCTGTGCACTTTGAGGAATGTGTGATTTTGAAATCAGAGATTTCCGTGACAGAGGACAGTACTGGACGCCTTAGGCCAGTGTAAGAGCAGGAGCAGTGTTTTCTTCTCTGCTGAGAGTTTGGGTGAAAAAGCAAACCTTTGGGAGAAAAGCAAACCTTCCTCTGCCAGCACCAGGGATTTTTGCCTGAAGGCTTTATGCCAGGAAGCCCAGGATTACCAAGATGGTTTCTTCAGGGTGTTAACACAGCACTGGTCTTCCAGTGTCCCCACAGAGCACGTTACTGGTGTGCTGAGCAGTCATGGCTGAGCTGTCATTCACCCGCCTCTGTGCGTGTTTGCAGTGACGGAAGTCGTCGGTCCGAAGTACCGGAGGACGGTGGGCATCCTCTACCAGACGGCCTTCTCCGTTGGGCTCCTGGTCTTTGATGCCATCGCTTACGCCATCCCTCACTGGCGGTGGCTGCAGCTCACCGTCACCCTGCCGAGCTGCTTCTTCCTGTTCTACTACTGGTAAATGGGCTTTCGTTGTACCCCTGCCCCCCTCTGCCCCCGAAACCCAGCTTCTTGTGTCTGCTAGGTCTTGATACTGAGGGAGACTTTGGTTGTGTGTGCCTCTTAGTGCAAAGAGGCGGTACACAACAAAAAGGACAGGGAAATAGGACCCCCCAGCAGCTGAGACTTCATTGCATCTCAGCTTTGAAACACTGGAGGAGAGCGGTTTAATAACATATATTATCTTCATTAAGAATTTCATAAAGGAAAAGAAATGCCTTGACATAATTTAGTGTTTTCCAAGACTGAAAAGATGGTGATTGAGAGATCGTCGAATGCTAACATAACTGTAACAGGTTGTTTACATGTTCTTTTAAGGAAAAAACGTTGCAGCTTTTTGTGGTCCAACCAAGAAGGCATGTGGGTTCACCTTTGTTTTGGATTCTCTCCTCTCTTTTTGATTGGTATTTTTCAGTTTGAGTGCTTTGATTTGAGAATGGGTATGGAGGAATTACTGTCTGGATGAGTCAAGAGGTTAGGAATAGTAGAAAGAGATTTGTTGTCTGTCTTTTTCCATACTTGTGACTTGGTAAGCCAGTTCTAGCCTGTTTACTTCTTCTTAACCTGTGATGGCACAACTGCCAGTTTGTGGTGAACAGGCTGAATAAAATGATAGCACTACTCTCACCGAAAGCCCTTCCCTGATTTATCTTTAGCAAACTCGCCTCTCACTAAAGCCACTACCCACAACTGCTCCTCTTCCCTTTTCAGCAATGGAATATACTACTTTTTGGGGCAAGGGGAGAAACACATAAAAAGACCCAAACAAACAAAAAACAAAGGAAAAAACCCACCTGCCTCTATTCAACCAAAGCCTTCTCTCCACAGTTTCCAAACATGGGAGTGCTGTGTGTGCTTTATGTTTTGGTATATAATAGCATTCCACTCGCATTGTAGGTGCCTCCCAGAGTCTCCCAGGTGGCTGATCTCTCAAGGAAAAAATGACAAAGCTATGAAAATTGTCAGTGACATGGCTAAAAAAAATCGGAAAAAGATGCCTTCCCATTTTGAGGTGAGTTTAGGGTTTGCTTATGCACGTAAGCATCATGATAGTCCCTTCCATCAGTTCGTCCCAGCAGAAGCTTACTGTACTTTGTACTGGCTCTTCTGCAGGATATTAAATTTGAGGAGGAAGATTGTGAAAAGCAGCGTCCTTCATTCATTGACCTTGTAAGGACACCACAGATGAGAAAAAACACATTCATTTTGATGTACAACTGGTAAGAAGACAATGTTGGAGAGCTGTTTTTGAAGCTGTGGTTATGAAGGCTCCAGCAGGACGCAGACCTTGGTCCTCCGACTGACTAATGAAGCCAGGATGCTCTTCTCTGTCTAGGTTTACGAGCTCCGTCCTCTACCAGGGTCTCATCATGCACATGGGAGTAGCCGCTGGGAACATGTATCTGGATTTCCTCTATTCTGCGCTTGTTGAGTTCCCAGCCGCCTTCATCATCATCGTCACCATCGACCGCGTCGGGCGACGCTACCCCTGGGCTGCAGCGAACCTGGTGGCTGGGGCCGCCTGCCTTGTCACAGCCCTGATCCCGGAGGGTGAGTCGCCTGCGTGGGGCCATAGGGTGGCTTCCCAGCCTGGCATTGCCCCCGGGAGCAGCGCCCACCTCTCCTTCCCTCTCCCAGCCCCGCAGGTCCGCAAACCCCCGCCCGCCGCCGGGCGCTGCCTCCCTGGCTTCTCGTAGCGCTCCTGGTGCTGCAGAAGCGAAATGAGGTTTATTTCTAGCACTGCTAATGGTCAATCTCAAAGCACCTGGGCCCCCCGTGCTGCTGTGGCAGGGTCCCCGCGCCACAGCTCGTGCGGGGCTGGCTGTTCCCCTTCCCTCGTTCACAGAGGTGAAACAAGGCCCCTTAAAAGCATCAGGTGATACGGGACCAGAGCTCCCCCCTACAATAGCACTGGTCTATTAACTGACTCCCGCTAAACCGCTGGGATACTTTTCAACGTGTCGAACGCATTTTCTCTGCAGACATACATTGGCTAAAAGTGATGGCTGCTTGCATCGGGAGGATGGGAATCACAACGGCTTTTGAAATGGTTTGCTTTGTAAACACAGAACTGTATCCAACATACATCAGGTAGGTGCATCCCCCTCCCCGTCAGCATTTGTCCTGGAAACAAATAGTTGAGGCCGATGTCTATGTTCCGTTTTTTGCTAAACTAAGTTATCCTCAGATGCTTCAGAACTACACAGGTACTGCTGAATGTAAAGTAGGCAAAGCATAGTTAAAATGCTTTAAAAAGTAGATCCATGGAGACAACAAATGTGCTTTAAGGTAGATGAAAACTCCTGTGACTGAAATAAAGGGAAAACTGGAGACAACCAGGGTGGCTGAGGACTCTGAAGTCCCTTGGAAATCGCTTGGATTTGTATCTTGTTTGAAGTTAATTGGACCTGTCCAGAGCGGAGTCTGCTATGGAGGATGTGTGTTAACTCAAGCCCTTCACCTGAGGATAGATGTTTTCCCTATTTGTAAGCAGGCAGCATGGTGAATGGCTCAGAAGTAGATAAGTGCACTGCAGAAACCTGAAGCGCGGGAGTTAATTCTTCTTCGGAATTTCCTCTTTCTATGCAGTGACTGCAGGCTGTTGCCTGCAGAGAAGACGTCTGCACTGACCAGATGGATCTTACTCGTCCTTTCTTCATTGGAGAGACACTGATTATGTGAAGCTACACAACATATGAAATAACAAGACTCCATTAATGTCATTCCTCTGTCCATAATGAATACACTGGAGTTTTAAATTTTACTAATTGTGTATAGCAAACAGAAGGATCGTTTGCCACCCCTTGCACTAGGTCACCGAAGATGTACTGCAGCTCATGTACAGAGTGTCCAGAAACTCCCCTCAGATGCTTTGGGCCTGATTCTCTTCTATCTTTAACCCTGGGAGTTTGCTTACACATGTGAAAATACAGATATACTCTCCTGTTCCTATTTGCTAAGCTTTTTATTCTTGCAATACTTAGGTCTAAATAACTACTGGATGTGCCCACCAATGGAAAACTAGGTCTTTGCAAACTATTTTGGCATTTTGTGGTCTGCAGCTCTGTGCAAGGGTCAGAACTGTGATCCGTGCCCTTCCATCCACAATACTGTGATGCTAACGTGATCGCTTTGCTGTTGAACCAGGAACCTCGGGGTGATGGTCTGCTCCTCGTTGTGCGATGTTGGTGGAGTCATCGTCCCATTCATTGTCTACAGACTGGTGGAAGTCTGGCACGATCTGCCGCTGATAGTCTTCAGTAAGTGCCACCTTATCTCCTTGCCGGCTGCTCCTGGGGTGCAGCAGCAGGCCCCAAGTTTCATAGGGAGGGAAAAGCAGCTAAGGCTATTGCCCCAAATTCAGCAGAAGCCCTTTCCTATCTATAAAAGCCATAGCCTTCAGTTTATAACAACCTGGAGCTTGTTTAAACATTGATGTCTCCTTTGCACTTATTATTGTTCCTTGCATTTTAAAGGAAGCTAGAGGTGAATACAGGTTCCACAGACGGCAACGAGCTGAGAAACGTTCTAATATTTTGATGAGATTAGTATTTTGATGAATTCAAATCTGATAAATTAGTGCTCTTCTGTGAGGTATATTGTCTCAGTCCTGGAGCCCAAACCTAGAATTTCACATAATTGCCTATTTAATAACGTGGCTGTTACACTTCAGCTTTTCTGACAGTCTGTTAACTGTCTGTTCTCCAGCTATTTGGAAAGAGGTTGGTAAATAAATGCAAGAGGAGTGTTTGCAGACTAGTGAGTTGAACTCTCAGGTCAAGGTCTGCAAAACTTTTCTGAATCTTTGGATCAGCACACTATTTATAGAAAAATGTCTTGAATGGCAATATGCAGTTTTTAACAGACAGCACGTTTAGGAGGGTGCTTCGTAGATTTAAAACACCAAGCATGTACAAAGTGGGCAAAAGAAACGACCAGTGGAGAAGTTAATCACGTTGTGTAGGAGAGAACACATTGTGTATATATTTTCTAAATCTTGTTACGTAAATAGCAGAAAAATTGGATCAGTGTCCTGGCATACACTCAGACTAGAAAGGGTTCTTCCCTCTTTGCAGTTGCCTGTCCAGCCTGAGATGCCATAGTTCAGTGCATTAACTCGCAACTGAACTCGGCTCGTTGCTGTCTCCAAGCGGCTGCCACACCCTCGAGAGGCGGTATGCCAGTTTTGCATGTAGAGCCTTGACGTGCACGTCTTGTATGAAGAACAAAATAAGATGCCATTTATGAGTCCTTTGTGCCAGGGAGAAGAAAGTGGTGTATATGCTGGAAACTGGTATGTGCTAACAAGCTCTTTGTGCATCTGTTTGATTTGAAGCTGTTCTTGGTTTGATTGCGGGCGGATTGGTGTTGCTTCTGCCTGAAACTAAAGGAAGAGTTTTGCCTGAGACTGTTGAAGATGTTGAAAACTTTCACAGGTGAGTCAGGAAGATGAACTCTTAGCAGCTTTCACTTGAAATTGTTCAAAATCCCTGCTCAGAGCTCCTTGGCGAAGCTCCGATGCTTCCAAGAAGTTGCTAGTTCATTCCCAGACTAGCTGGAGAGATTTTCTTTTTACTGCTTGTCTACCTAGGCATGTGAAAACAAGCAGCATAGGCCTTTACTGGCCTGTGAATAGCTGCACCGCTCTCTCAAACCTGCTGCAACACTATTATAAATGTTATTTGTGCTTAAAAAAAAAAAAAGTAACTGGTCTTGTGAAACAGAAAAAGGGCATTCTTGATAGCAGCTATTCATACTGTGAGTGAAGCACCAATATCTACTGAGGAGCCAGAGCAAATCTAGCGGTTTTGAGGATTAGCTGCTCCTTTTCTCTGGGAAAGAGACGGGGCAAGTGAAGAACTTGAAGTTAGGTGCTCACTGAACAGCTTCATTCCTGGTTTGCTGCTCATGTCTTGTTATTCTCGCAGGCAAAGTACTCCAAAGGCCAAAAAGATCTATCTCCATGTCCAAACGTCAGAAGTAGCACATAACTGAAGAAGGCATAACTCTTTCTGGGTTGTCTGCTTTAAAGCACTAGTGTGGAAAGGCAAATTGGAATAAATACTCTCTCCTGTCTTGCTTCTTTTTGTCTCTCAATCCTTTATTTACAATGTTTGAGGGTTTCTGATGGGATTGTCCCTATTACTGCATAGCTGCTTCCCTCCCTGTACACTATAATATAAATATGTTTCAGAGCTGGGAACTTTTCATACCAGCTATGGGACCTCAACACGGGGACAGATCTCAATTTGGGGATGGTGGGGTCCATCCCAACAAAAGCTTACAAGCCTCCGTGAAGTCTTTGTTTTGCCTTATGAAGGGGTAACATAATATAACAGAGATTTACTTCTGTTATGGAGGCAAGATGACTACAAAGCTTATACAGTCTTGGTACAACTTGCAACAGATTTGCACAGATTATTTTTTTTTCTAGCCCTTAGTGTTATGGTGTTTATGTGAAACCAGGTGCCTGTACAGTAGCTCTCTTGGGGGATTTTATTAGCTATCCTCAAACTCACAAAGATGGGCATGTGGCAACTCCAGATCATGAAAAGGTGTGCATGGGAGAAAGACTCATAGTCCTTTCATAAAGCCTTGCTCATTTTTCAATGTGTAACTTTTCCTGTCTGAATATCATCTTCATAGTGGATAATCTATACTGTTTTTTTTGGTATGAAGCTGATTTCCTAAGCTTCCATAGGATTATAACTGTGTGCATGCACAGACATGCAGAATTTTATTAAAAATATTATGTTGACACTCCAGTCAGGGTGGGAAAAGTATTACAGCTGCCATGGGTCTGAGATCTCACCAGAGTCCTGCTCAGCTGGAGGCTTAGTATGGGGCTGAGGCCAGGACAGAGCTGTATCTCTACAGAAGTATTCAAAAAATGTGTAGATGTGGCACTTGGGGACATGGTTTAGTGGGCATGGTGGTGTTGGATTGATGGTTGGACTTGATGGTCTTAAAGATCTTTTCCAACCTTAATGATTCTGTGTTTGGAGCGGGCAGCCCTGCAGGGGCATCGCTTTGGAGTGAGCTGGGCTCAGGCTTAAGGACCTGCAGGACTCTGATCTGGGATTTGGCTTCAGGGAGCGCTCTTCAGGGAGCACTGGGGCAACACTGGGTCTGCCAAGAAATATCCAGCACCTTTCACAGTTTTCCTGGTCTTTCCCACTTAGCAACTGTGAGAGCCTTGAGGTTGCAGAGGAAGAGGCACAATGGTACTGCGGCTCCCCATCACCGTTGCTGTCTTGTTGGTCCCCAGCCCTGTGGGGAAACACTGGTTTTCAACAAGGATGCTGTATGCAGGGCACAAGATACTGCTGCCATGCAATGAGAGAGCTTCCAGCTGAGTGAAGTGTTGCTGGACTCTCGCAGGCAGCGTGCTATTCCCCCGGGATTGCTTCCCGGTGTGGCAGTACGGTGACCTTGCCCTTGCTTTCAACTGGCATGAGTTAATGTTCAGTCTTGCTTGTGAGGGCCTCAAAGGCAGGGAAGCATGTCCAGCAAAGCAGGTTGCTCTGAGGAGGTGAGGACAAATCTGGAGTGACATGGCTTTGACATGGCTTTGGCCCAGGCAGTTGCAAAATACTTGCTTTAGGGTCAGAGAGGAACAATCTGGTCCTGAGATGGGCAAAAGGGACAGCGGAAATGTATGTCCTGTGGAGCGGGTGTCCTGTTGTGATTGCAGAGATGTCTCTGTTCCGCAACAAAAGAAATCTGGCAGAACAGCTCTCTTTATTATAGTTCATTGATTCAAAATCTGTTGAAAACTCCATGCAGAAGGAAAATGGAGGAGGAGGCAAGAAGTCAAGCAAAGCAAATACTGGGATGAATAAATGAGTAACTACAAAATCTGACTCTCGAGACCCTTACCCATCACACTGGCATTTTTTTCCATAAGCACTGCTACTGCCCCAGGAGGAACTGCAGAGGTGGCAGGCTCCGACGTGCCTTGGCGGTCACCTACAAGTTATATCAGCATTTCCTTCTGGTGGCACCTTAATGAGCACAAGGGCAAATGTGCTTCATTGATTTCCTTGCTGTCGACCTTGTCGATTCATGTAGTACTGCCTGGAGTTGGGAAGTCAATGAAACACGTCAAATCACGTCCAGCTGCACATGGTTGCTGTCAAGGTGCAGAGAGCTTTTGTGTCCTGGGCATGTGGTAGGAGTGGATCTCTTTCAGGGTATGAGACAAGCTGTCTAACATTCTGCCTTAGATAAAACAACAGTTTGCCAGCTTCCTTCCCCATTAATAGCAGCTGAAGATTGTCTGCTCCTGGGGCTGCTGGAACACCACCAGCTTGGTGGCAGGGCTGTCCCTGCAACTTGGGAAGCAGCACTTCAGGGCCCAGCCATTGGCTGGCTCAGGTAACCCAGGGAGCACCTGGACATGGCTGTGTCGAGGTTAATGAAAGTGAGACTGGCCTTTTAAGAAGACCTTGTTCCCTGCCCAACTACTTATACTATGGTTTTAAGGACTGTGCCTAAAGTGAACATAAAAACTCCATGTTTCGGGGTACCCACCAGCTTTCCGTAACTGGGTTTTGGAAAGAACTGCTCTTCACTTTTACAAAGTTTCTGGTGTTCTCCCTGGCATTATCTGATGGACAGCCTGGCTGCAGATGTGGTCCAGGGCGACACTTTCTAGGCACTGTTCTTCTGCTGTTGTTGTCAGCACCAACATCCAAACACCACCATGCCAGCATAGCTACTCTTTGGAGACTCCAGTGCTAATTTTACCCCATCAAACATGGCTACGGGCTCTGTGGTGTATCAGAGACTCATTAAGGCTTATTGTCTGCAAGCTGTAATCTTAACATGGTGGTTTTGTCAAGGTGTTCTTGAGTGCATGAGTTGGCAGAAAATCGCATCCTACAGGCCAGTACAAAGCTCATGTAGTCTCCAGCTCTCCTGTTTATTGTGTGATCAAAATGATGCATGTGCTAGATTTTATTTGCAACTTGCTCCAATCCTATCCTTACTGTATGGCACTCTGACATCCTACATTTTGTAAATGTTTTAAAATACAAAGAATTTGGGTCTTCTTCCAGAACTGAGACTGGTCAATAGACAAACTAGACAAACCTCAATCCAGACAATATACACAAATCGATGAATATGATGTGAATCGCATTTTAAGTCCTTCCTAAGGGCTATAGAGAGGACCCTTCAAAAGCACCAGAGCAGTGATTTTTCCAGCATATTCTTGAGAGAGATCTACTTAGAAAGCCATATCCTTTTTTTTGGCTCATCTTTCCCACTCTGCGCCACCTCAGTCCTTATTCCTTGCATCTCTTTTTGGAGTTTGACCATACAAAAACCAAAACTCATTGCATTAGGAAAACAAATATGCATAAACACAAACATGAATATGCTTTAACATGCACAGTGTCCTGTTACTGTTCATGCTGCTCCCAGTGGGTGTCTGTGATGGGGCTTTCTCCCCTGCCCTGTCACTGATCCCTAATGATGTTGTAATTGCACGCAGCCCCCCACAGTCATGAGGCTTCGCTGCCTCTGACTCCTCTTCACCTTCCTTTTTGTTTTCCAGCTTGCCTAATATTCAGTTAAGTTCTGGGATGCCAAAGCTTAAAAGTCAGTGTGGGATTAGAAGTACTTATTTTTTGTACTTGTTTCTCTGGAAGAAGAGTAAACTGTGAGGGAAGAGGGGCTTCTGGATGCCTCGGGCTCTCGAAGTGGGCTTTGCAGTGGCAGTGCTTGCTGCTGGGCAGCAGGACCCGTCTCTCAAAGATGGCCTGCTGGGCTTCAGGAGCTATAGACTGACCAACGGTACCAAGATTTTAAGGGGTGTAGGTGATATTGTGACAGTAAGTCAGTTACTGTCTACATGCTTGCTTTCATGCAGAATCAGGTGTAGCTTGGAGAGGGTGAGTTGGGCTCATGAATACACTCTCCCTCACTACAAAAATGAGCTCTGAGTGAGCTGTCCAAAGAGATTTTTAGTTTTATAACAAGCAGAAGAAAGTGTTTCTTCATGAATTTCCCACTCATGCCATACAAGTTGCTGCTGCCCGATGCCCTGGGATGCCAGAAGCATGAATGATTTCAGAAGACAAATAGAAAACATCTGTGGAAGGATGGTCCACAAGCGACTGCAGCAGAAATGTGGGCAGATGATCTCTGGCTCGGGAAGTCCCCAAGCTGCAAACTGCTGGCAGCTGGGATAGTGCAATGGGGAAAAGACCATTGCGTTGGCCTGGCTCGTCCCCTGCACGTGGGGTCAAGGGCTGGCCTTGCTATGGCTGCTCTGCTGGCCCCCTTCTGTGTCCCTGCCCCAACAAAGGCAGGTCTGGGGCAAAATGGGTCCATGAGGTACAGGTGCGCATCCAAAGAAGGGCAACAAAGCTGGTGAGGGCTCTGGAGCACAAGTCTTACACGGACCTGGGAGTGAACTGGGGTTGTTCAGTCTGGAGAAGAGGAGGCTGAGGGGAGACCTTGTCACTCTCTACAACTACCTGAAAGGGGGTTGTGGCGAGGTCAGTGTCGGTCTCTTCTCCCAAGTAACAAGTGATAGAATGAGAGGAAATGGCCTCAAGTTGCACCAGGGGACGTTTAGATTGGATATTGGGAAAAATTTCTTCACCGAGAGGGTTGTCAAGCATTGGAACAGGCTGCCCGGGGAGGTGGTTGAGTCACCGTCCCTGGAGGTATTTAAAAGATGTGTAGATGTGGTGCTTCGGGACATGGTTTAGTGGTGGACTTGGCAGCATTAGGTTAACGGTTGGACTCGATGATCTTAAAGGTCTTTTCCAACCTAAACGATTCTGTGATTCTTACTTGGGGGCAGGTTCGGAAGTCAGAACATGGAGATAAATTGTTTTTTCTTTGCTTCTCTCTTGCCTGCAGAAGGAAAGAGGAAAAGGCAGATGATGCTCCCGGTGGCTAACAGTATGATACACCAAATAATCCATATGTTTACATTCATTGAAAACTAGATTTAATGGATGTCTCATCACTGGCAATTTTTCAAATGAGGTTAGATTATTTTGAGAAGCAGCAGAATAAGGAGTAAATTGGAGACTTTCTGTGGCCTTG